GGAGAGATGGCTCAGCGGTTAAGAGCACTGGCTGCTCTTGCAGAGGACCTGGGTTCAATTCCCAGCACCCATATGGCAGCTAACAAGCATCCATAACTCCAGTTACAAGAGATCTGACACCCTCTTCTGACCTCTGAGGGTATTGCACAACATGGGTGCACCTACACGCATGCGGGAAATACACTCATATACATAAAATTAAAACATAAAATATTTTTAAAATACAAACTGTTTTCATAACTAATATTTTTTCAGTGATAAGGCTTGAACTCAGGGTGTCATGCATGCTCTGTCATTGAGCTGTACTCCAAACCATTTGAAATTAATATTTTTTATTTTTAATAACTACATGATTAGAAGAAGCATTTCATTACAGCTTTAACATATTTAGTAACACACTCCAGAGCAAGTAGAGGAAATCCTATGTCTGTCATATCTCTAGACAAATGAAATTTCTTACTGTATTATAAATATGGATCCTTATATTTCCAGAGAAGGAGACAGTACACCACTCATCAAAGAAGCTTCTTGAAACAAATGGAGACTTCTACAGAGTTTCACAACTGTTCACACACAGAAAGACTCATTGTTTTTGTTACTAACACTGAGATGTTGGCACATGCATCTCTAATTTGTATGTATCTGATTATTACTAGTCATAATCGGTTGCACTTGGATGCTTGGCACCTGTGTATGTCTGTAGAATTATTGGGTAGATTTCAATGGTGACGTTTATCACCTATACTAATTAACATAATGTAAATTTCCATGCATCCTCCTCAAATATAATATATATTTTTTAAATGGTTGATTTTTTTTTGTGTGTTTACGTGTGTATATCACACAGAAAATCCCAAATCATCTTATACAACTATACACCCACGTCCCAGGTGGCACCCTCCCATAGCCTCCCTCCCCCACTAGAGCCCTTATACTCTGATATCCCTGCTACTGCCCGCTCTGTTGTTGGCACCCCAGCCATTCCCCACTACTTGTCCACCTGGTGAATCTAGTCAGCCTATCTAGAGGTCTTTGTTTTAGGAGGTCAGCTGTTCCTCATCTAGCAGCAATCAGTTGTCAATATTCCTTTAGATAAGATTGGGGTCTGCTGTTTATTTTCACAGTTCTATGCTTGGTTACTATTTGGGAGTCACTTGGCCACCCAGGCCAACAACTCAAAAGAAAGTATCGCCTATCTGGCATTCTTGCTGGTTATGTAGCCTTTAGCTATGCATATGGACTCTTAAAATTTTTTATTGGCCCTTTAATCTTTGATTATACTTTCCTTTTGGGTGCTTAAGGCCATACAGTTGGCCCAGATAAACCAATTTACTTTTATTCTTAAGGACATTTGAGGATCTGTTCCTCAGGGGTCACATGGGCTTGGGAGGAGCCCCTGGCTCCTTTTATTATCAGCTCTGCCTATGTGAAGGTAAGTCAAAGGTCCTGCTCGACCATGGTTGGCTTCACTTGGAAGAATGAAAGAAATGTTTCCTCTGTGTTGACCCTCCTGTTTATAGACTGTTTATAGTCCATCTCGTGGAACCTCCTCAGCTCCTTGATCAAGAGGACAGGTGGCCCACCACAATGACAGGACATTTTGAGAGATGCTCATAGTCCCCTGGAACTACTCAACCATCAGGGCA